CCCCTACACTTTGTTAGTCCATCCTCCATTTTTACTGTCTTCCAACAAAAAACATCAGATGCCCACCAATGAAAACTTGATATATCTGACTGTCTTCCAGACCCAGAAGACGGCCTCTATCTGCCCCTGAATAATATTAATAATAATAATAATGTTAATAAAAATGATGCCTATATGTTAATGTCTGGATCTTTTCATTGAGCAAAAATTATCAAACTTTCATATATATGATTTTTAAAAAAATTTACAATTTACTCTATTTGAAAACAGTGAGTAATTACCTTAATAATAATAATAATAATAATGATGATGATAATAATAATAATAATAATAATAATAATAACTTCTTATGATGCAAATTGAGTACAAATTGTTTCTATTTCAGTTGGAGGAGCTGGAGCAGGATCTGGGCAGTCTGAAGGTCCAGCTGGCTGACAGAGACGAGCAGATCAGTCTGTTGACGGCTCAGCTGGAGCTCACCAAGAATGAGATGGACCAGTCTGGTCTGGAGAAGGCGGAGAAGATGGAGGAGCTGGAGACGGAGAGAAGAAAGTTGATGGTGAGTGGCTGGAGTAGTCCAGTCTTTTTTGGAATTTAAGAGGTAAAATGTGCTTTAACTAAGTGGACAGACTCAAAAAGGAGAGAAAAAAAAAGAAAAAGAGAAAAAAATAGTGCTACTCTCGGTGAGGTGTGTTATTGATATTGGTGACAGGGAGGCACAGAGTGCTCTAAAGGTAGCGTAAATATATAAGATAATAAAACTGACATCTGTATAAGAGGGTAAGAAGCAAGTAAGTTGAAAATGAGAGCTGATGGTGAGTGCCAGGAAAAATTTGTTTGGAATTACAGAAGTGAAATGTCCTCAAAATAAATGGATGGACTTAGAAAGGTATAAAAAAAAATAGTGTAACTCTAGGTGAAGTGTGTTTTAACCCTTGGGTTACAGGAAAATGTAGATCATGCTGTTAAATGTAGCATTTATATAGAAAATAAAAATATATCTTACAACTGTATTAGAGGGTAAGAAGCAAGGCCATCAAGAATATAAGTTGTCTGTACAGTAACACCCCATTTCCATAGATTTTTAGATCAATCTATCCCTGTGGGGAGTCTCACTAGATTACTGTCAGCTTGGCCGGCTTAAGCATCTGTCCTGCCTACTAAAAGCTGTAAGGGGGTAATTAACTATGGTGCCCGCTCAGCTGACTGCAATTTAGCGTGAACCCCCAGGGAGTTAGGTCGATCTAAATCTTAATCTTTAGATCGATCTAAATCTCTGGGAAAGCACCCTAAATGTAGTATAATCAAGGCACTTAAGAGTTGTACATTCATGCAAGAGGGTAGTTTAAACAGCTAATCAGGAATGAAAGTTGTATTAGAGAAAATATACAAGATAGTCAAGAGTGACAGTTGCACATATGTGCTAGAGAGTAGCATGAATGTAGAATTCAAGAGTTGTGGGTTGCAGATTTAAAAACAGTCAGTCAAGCCACACATGTACTACTACTAGAAGGTAGTTTGAAGAGAGAACATTTTCAGTCAATGGAAAAATACACTACTGGTTAGTATTGTGAAAATTGAATGATGCATCAGTGGAAATGAAATAAATCAAGTCAAGAAGGCAGTATAAGCAGAGAGAGAGTATCAAGAGTGGAAATTGTACTAGAGGGTAGATCAAAAGCAAGTCAGACAAGAGTGAAAGTTGCACTAGTCTAGCAGGTAAGAAATAAAACAATAGATGAAAGTAAAAAATGTAGATTTGTACTAAAGGTAAACATAAATTAATAGAAAATCAAAATAAAAAAATGAAAGTTATAGTAGAATGAAATAAACAAATCAAGAGTAAAAGCTGTACAAGAGGGTATCACAAACAACAAAGAAAAGCATGTGTACTAATAAACAAAACAGGTGAAGGCTGCATGAAAAGAGGTCGAAGTTAACAAAAGCATCCAACAGGTAACTGTACACATTGCCTCCTTTCACTGAATGAAAACCCCAGCTGTAAGCCCCAGTCAGCGTAACACTATTGTTATTTCCACCTCTACTCCAGCGGTTATCAGATTGGAGCGAAGGATATAAGTTGTATTATGCACTGGTGTGAATGGTAGAGGGCCAGAGAGCAAAGGCAGGCCTAGACTGGGATATTAAAATGTGATTTTTTTATTTGTGTGTGTGTATGTGCTGGTATACAAGTACTAGTAGCAGGTGGTGGGATATATATACGAGGCAAGTACAAGCTACTGTGAATTCCTAAGGCTTCGTTCACATGCAATNTAAAAGAAGTCAGTAATTGCGCCTAGGGATATGCAGGGCACAGAGCGTGATCATAAGACATACCGAAAATAGAAAATAGAAAATAGACATTGCATGTGAACGAAGCCTAATATTAAGGCACAGTTCAGGCACATCATTGATCTAGGTGATTGAGAAACTGTTGTGTTTAGGTATCAAACTGTCAGTTTAGAGACCAAAACCATCCTACATTTGTATAATTTGTATTTTAAAAAAATTCTGGCCATCTGTTGTAATTCACATGAGATGGTCCAAATTTTAAATCTTAGATAAACCAAGGGGCACACAGTGGGCACGGAGAGACAGTAAGGGAAATTGTTCATATTTACTAGAAGAGATAAACTGTGTCAACTGTATCACCTTAACAATGTGTACTTAATGTGATTAAGGCAAGGTGTGTATCCCTGTTAGTAAATACAGGTTGGTTATGGTATCTAGGTAGTCTTACTGTGTGTGTGTGTGTGTGTGTGGGGGGGGGAGGTTGCACATTTCAGATATAATATAAGTGAAACCTGTGAAAGAAAACCTTTTAAGCTTGCTGTCAGGGTCTCATTCAAGTATGATTATAGAATTTTATGTTAAGAGTATTACTGTAATCTTTATCATACTGCAGTGTGCTGTACTTGGAAATTGTTTACCTGGCAAAGTATAATTCAAAATTTTTATGTCCTTACAGTTTTGTAGCAATCCATATTGGTCACTGTCAAAGTAATCTTACCATGATACTGTTAAATTTTCAATATTATGACTGCTGAAAATGTCAGGTGCCAAATGAGATTTTTAAACAGAGATATTTTGTAAGTGTGTGCATTGTCACATTCTTTGCTATATAATGTTTAACGTATTCAACCGATTTCTTCAGGGTGATATTGAGCATCTGCGAGAGCAAGTGGACTCCACCCCTATGCCCGAGTTTGCACAGGCCCTGCTGGCTGAGAAGAATGAAGAGATAGAGCACCTGAATGCCCAGCTACAACAGACACAGCAGATGGCTAGGGACAAGCAGGTAAACCTCACCTGTGTATTGAAATTACAGGTGAAACAAGATAATTGTGGCAGAGCATTTTGTCATGCTCTGTTGTGTGAGTCTAGTGTGAGGATAGGAGTTATTATTTTTGTATCAAAATGAATGAGGTGAACTCTTAACTTGCAGTTTTCTCATGTCCTACTTTAGCAGACAGAGGATATTTTCTATGATTTATGATCAAGAGTTAAGACATAATTTTATAATAATTGAAGCAAGCTGACGCCCAGGGGTGTGTGCATCATGAAATTGCTCTTTTTTAATGTATATACCTATAAAAAATTGATAAAAAGGGTTGTGCCTTAATATAATATTATTTACTAAAAATTGTTATAGATAATGAATTAAATAAACCTGTAGTTACGGTAATAATTGTAGCAGGCAGACGAGGCAAGCTACCTGACATACCTTCTCCAGTATAGAGTATTGCTACAGATTGAAAGTCTACAAGGAGACCTGGAGAAACTGCTCTTTGTAACTCAGAACAGAACTTAAAAGAGAAAACAACACAATTCTCATGTATTCTCATGTTATGCTCACTGTTTTTATGATTTATGACCAAGAGTTAGGACTTACCTATATAATACTGTGAAGCAAACTGACAGCCAGGGGTGTGTGTGTGTGCCATGAAAGTGTTGTTGTTTTAATGTATACACGTGTTACAAATCGATAAATCTGGTGTGGACTTTGATATATTATTGGTTCAAAATTTTTATGTACAGACACAGATGTGTCTGTACATATTGCCATCACCTATGTCTGTCGTCGCCGATGGCGATGCTGATGCCGATGCCGACGCATGCA